TTACACAAAATTCTAATTTTATTTTAGTTAATTATGTATTAACTAGGGTTAAATGTCGATTATTTCGCAAATTTCGGGGTGGTCCTAAACTTTTGGCCAGGGAGTGTAGCTTTTTTGCGTAATCGCGTTGTTTTAATATATGTTGATCATATAAAAATTTCATATAAAAAAATTTTATATAAATAAAATAAAAATTTCAAACAAATGATAACAATGATTAAATATTTAAATTATTCAATAAAAAGACGATTGATTCCAAATTTACTAATTTCATATCAAAAACGAGCGATTTTTTCATCAAAGTATGCATTTAAAACAGATACAAACCAATCAATTAATCAACTTGCAAATTTACAAGGTAAAAACACATTCCCTACTTACGGTTTTAATTTTTTTTTCCGAACTAATAAATTTAATATCTTATAGCAACTTTTCCTTCAAGGACTCATACGTGTGGAGACTTATGCTCAAGCCACGTTGGTCAACGTGTAATATTAAATGGATGGGCCCAAAAAATTCGGTATAAAGCTATTCTAAATATTCTCAAATTAATAATTAAACTTTAAGTGGATCAATTTTTTTCCGCAGCATGATATCCTCGGAATTGATCTTTCTTCCAATTCGAGATTCATTTGGGACAACACAACTTGTATGTACATCATCTAAATTAAAAGAAGAACTTTCTCAATTATCGACGGAAAGTGTTATTTGTATAGAAGGAGTTGTCGTTAAAAGATCAAAAGAAACTATCAACATGGTATGATCGATTTTTTATTTTAAAATCTACTGGATAATGAAAACTTTAACTAATGTTCTAGATTAATTCATAATAGCAAATTTCAACTGGTGAAATTGAAGTTGAAATTGATAAGTTTTATTGTCTCAATCGGGCAAATAACTTGCCATTTTTCCCGTTGGATAGTAGAAAATTAGTAAGTTATTAAATGTTATTTATTGTAATAAAATATTTATAATATTTTGTTTAACTGAACATAGCCAAATGAAGAAGTTAGATTGAGGCATCGATACATTGATTTACGACGGGACTTTCTTCAAAATAATCTTCGTAAACGTTCGCTTGCATCATGGACCATAAGAAATTTTCTTGTGAATGAAGGTAATATTCTTTAGACTCATTTAATTAGATTTTATAATACTTCATCTTTATATCAATGTATAGGATTTGTTGAAGTTGAAACACCTATATTATTTAAATCAACATCTGAAGGAGCAAGAGAATTTATAGTACCAACAAGAACAAAAGGGTCATTTTATGCATTAACACAAAGTCCGCAACAAGTTAATACCTTTTTCATTTTTATACTGTATTTGATTTTCAGGTTATCTTTATATAATTATTGAAAAAGATTTTCATTCCTTGAAAGTATAAACAATTACTCATGGCAGGAGGAATTGACAAGTATTTTCAAATGGCGAAATGTTTTCGTGACGAAGATCTTAGAACTGATAGACAACCGGAATTTACTCAAGTGTGAAAGAACGCCTTTTTTTCATCATGAAACTTTGAGTATAACATTAATACGATTTTACTAAAAAATTAATATAGATTGACTTGGAAATGTCATTTGTGAAAGCAAATGAAATAAGGTCGTTAATTGAAAAAATGTTGATAAAAGTATGGGAAAAGGTTCTTGGGGTAGATTTAAAAAATAAGATACCATTCCCGAGAATTACCTTCAAAGAGGCCATAAGCAAAGTAACTTTTTATTATATAAAGATTAATTTATATATTGAAAATTTAATTAATGTGATTTTTCTTTTGTCAAGTTTGGGTCTGACAAGCCAGATACACGTTATAGCATGGAAGTATGTATGATTAAAAATATATATATATTTTTAGCAAACGAAAGTTTTATATTAAATTTAAAAATAAATTCATTACAGATCAAAGATATTTCATCATTTGTATTTGATCCTTTGGATCAATCCGGATATTGTGCTGAATGTTTAGTTGTCAAAAATGGTGCCATATTATTAAGTAACAGCGAGATTAAGTCTTTAAAATCATTGGGTGATGCCTCAGAAGATTTAAAATTCAAATGTGTACGTATAAATAGAGTTTTATACATGGATTCTTTTAAATGTTTGATTATTTTAGTGATTATTCCTTTTTTTAAAAATAATCAAATAAAATAACAGGAATTTCATAAGATGAGTGCCGACAAGTTAAATTCTTGGTTTTCTGATTCGCCTTTATTGAAACATTCGCCTAATCTATTTAATAAAGATAATTCTCTTACTAAAGAATTTGATATTGAAGCTGAAGATTTGGTGATCGTGCACAAACGAAAGCAGCTATTTACGGTAAATCCATTTAACTTATAGTTTTTCATTATTTTAAATGGTATTTTTATTATATTATTATTATTATTAGGGGAATTGGACGTTATTGGGACGAATTCGATCTCAAATTGCAAATTTGTTACAATCGAAAAGTATTTGTTGCATCAAATATTTTATATCCTATTAGATCAAACATTTATTAATAATTTATTCATTTCATTTTAGATAAATTGAAGATATCACCATTAGATTATAACTTTCTTTGGGTTGAATCATTTCCTTTATTTACTCGTGATAATGAAACTGGACGGTTGTCTTCAACGCATCATCCGTTCACAGCACCTATTCCCGAAGACGTTAAATTACTTTTCAAAGATCCTGAACAGGTGTGTATTTAAATATACTAGTTTTATCGTTATTATTTAACTTATTATATATGTGTGTGTAATTTTTTTTTATTTAGGTTAAAGGACAGCATTATGATTTAGTTTTAAATGGAATAGAAATTGGAGGTGGATCCATAAGAATTCATTCAGCAAAATTACAATCTATGATATTTAATGAAATATTAAAGGTATTTTACGTTAATCCTGTCATATAAACCTATAATTTTTTAACATTATATGTGTATTTAGTTAAGTGACGAAGAAGCAAAGAGATTTAATCACTTGATAAAAGCACTTGAACATGGATGCCCTCCCCACGGTGGAATTGCATTGGGTAAGAAATGCAATTGGATCACATGATTATTTAAATCATTATTATAACAATTTATTATTTTGTGCTTATTATATTTTATTATATGATTATAGGATTTGATAGGTTATTGGCAACAATATGTGGAACAAAATCCATTAAAGATGTTATGGCTTTTCCAAAAGCCGCTTCTGGTAGTGATCTGACGGTATCCTGTCCTTCTGAAATTTCTGAAGAAAGAATGAAAGAATATGGAATTCAAATAATATAAAATCAAGCTTTTTTTTTGTCTTACCATAAATTATATTTAGATAAACCATATAAGTAAATTAAAATATTAATTATATGTTATCGACGAAGCTTATCCATTACAAATATTTATATGTGGATCCTGTTGGTGTTCATAGAACGGATAGGCTGTTTACCTTCCTATTTTATCCAATTGTTAAATAAAACAAAAAAGGTTATAATTTTATGCGAATACCGGTAATTAGCCAAAGTACAATATGTTAATCCAGGTTTCATCAATGCAAGCAAATTGGAATGTAAATGAATTTAAAAAAATAAATTCTTTTGCTTAAAAAAAAAAACAATAGTAATAATTACAAAGTACAAGGAAAGTTTTCTTTTTTGGTATTTTTCAATTCTTCTTTATATAATAATTATCCCTTATCTATCCAATTTTACCGTAAAATTTTTAGTGTTTGTGTTTTTACTTGGCAGTTTACAAATCTTACAGCAATAAATTATATTCGCCAAATATTTCTTCAATCATAGAATCGATCATGAAGTTTGTAGAACGAATTCCAACCCATTATAAGCTTCAACCATTTGTTTTTTGACAATTAGTAATGAATTTTTAGCGATAATATGAAATTTTTTTTTTTTTATCTTTCTAATATTTGATTTTAAATATTAGATAATTGATAACCAAATTTAATCAAGTAAAATAATAATAAGTTAAAACGATCCTTTATCAAAGCTATAACTTGTATTTACAGAGACCTTCAAATCAATCATCGATTTCAATGAAATTTCCACCTTTCCGATACCACTCGTGTAAAAATAATAAAAGTGGCCGAATCTTCCTTTCGATATGTTAATCTAGCCGCCAATTATGGTGTTCATTAGGGATGGATCGGTCCTGGAAAGACCGGTCTTAGACCGGTTAATGGGACCGGTCCTTGCGGTCCTCGGTCCATGTTCTGAGGACCGGTCTTTACTATTTATAGTATATTAATGTTAATTTTATTTATAAAATATTAAAAAGTTAGAGTTGGATCGACCCGGTTTTCATCTCTCTTATGGAATGAACTGCCCATAAGTCAATCCTTAGACATGTCCTAATATTTTACTGTAACGATACTGCCCGAAATGAAAAATCGGAAATGGAGATTAATAAAGCACAGTAATCGTTTCGTATGCAATGATTTTATTATTATACTTTTTTATTTATTAAATTTATACAATTATTTTATTAAATAATTGATAATTTTATATGTATATTTTTCTAATATGTTTAAACCGATCCTTGGACCAATCTTATAAATCGGTCTGGTAAGAAAACAATTTGACCGGACTGGTAGGACCGAATGGTACAAGACCGGTCCGGTCCAAAGAAATATGAAAGACCAGTCTTTTGGACCGGACCGGACCGATCCAACCCTATTGTTCATCATGTATTCAAAATATCCATATTATTTTTTCCCTTGGACTTTTTAAATTTAAATTATAATTTTAAGTTGAATGCGCCATAATCGTGACATATTAGTTATAACTACTATATGACTTTAAAGGGATTTTAACGTCTAAATGATAAACTTTTTTAAATAAATCCGGTTATGATATCTTATTTATAATCTACAGGAATGAAGTATGTAAAGCATTGCTAAAATTTAAATTATCCTCATGAGAATAATTTCATGCAAAGTGCTGATAATAATTATATTAAAATTTCATGAGACGCTGTCTGCCCAAATATCTTTTTATATATATATTATTTAAAATCACTGTATTTATGACGTTATAAATATAAAATTTCCACAAAAAAAAAAAAAAAAAAAAATGTTTGCACAATAATATATATCATTATATATATATAATCAGTACATGAAAATTTTAGAATTAGAAATTCCCGATTTTTCTAATCGATTTAGTTCCCCACACTTTAATTGAACTAATTTATACATCTTTTCGTTTATAATCGATATTTTCTTAATATATAAAGGAATATAATGATTTCAAGCATTTTGAATCTTTATTGTAATTGATCGGAGACATACTGCGCAAATTACTACTGTTTTTGTCAGAATAATGGATTCGGTTTGACAAATCTTTACTCATTCCATTTCATTGACGTTGGTATATGATTCAATGATGTAATTCCTGCGGGTGAACCTTTAAACTTTAAACTGTTAGTAGGTCAAAATATTGTCAATACCACAATTTTTGCCAAGGCCAGGTTGGCATCATAAAGTTTTGGTCCTTATCTATAAGACAAGTGCATGATGGGTGCTTGCACTGCTTCCTCACGAGTCAAATATTAGTTTCAAGTTTATGGGCATTTCATCTTGAGCAAGGTTTCTTCTTTCAAGTGTAAACATCATTACGATTTTCTGTCTCGATTTGAGGTGTAAAGGTTTTCTCTCTTATTTAGGAATGTAGAAGGGGGTCAGTTGACTGAGGATAGAAGCTGTGTACCAATGATTATTCATTTTCATGAAAAGTAAATATGATGAGATCAAAATCACAAGAACGTGGCTTATTCAGAATAATTTGAGCGATACAATTCCATTCTTAGAATTTATTTTGTTCATTAACACACGTTTAAAACATTGATTGATTCTTTAAAAAAATAAAAAAATCCCCAGTTTTTTCACCGCGTTACACACAAATGCCCTATCGAGTTGTTAATGAAATGTAATTAAAAAAAAAAAGTCTTAAACAAAAAGTGTCATTATAATAATAATAATACCAGATTGGTCAACCATAATGAACTTTTCAGGCTTTGAACTCGATTTGAAAATAAAAAAAAAAAAATCTACAATTATAATTATTAATAATGTGATCTAATTATAGTTCACATTTCAAAAGACAATAAATAAAATTTTGAATTGATAAGAACATTTCAATCAATATACTTAAATTGTTTAACATGAGATATTTTCAAAATTCTAGAATTTTTTTTAAAAATGATTTTGGGCAATGATTTCTCGAAAAAAAAATATTTAAAAAAATATTTATGACGTGTGAAAAATGAACCTTTTTTTCCATTTTTTTTTTTTTTTTTTTTTTTTTTTTTTTTTTTTTTTAAAAAAAAAAAGAATAAATTGGTATTATAAAATTACCATCGATGAATTTAACACACGATTTTATTTGTGAATTACAGGTTAACGATTTTGGAATGTTTGCCTGAAAGGAACTTTCCTTTGTGAATAAACCTTAATGGAAGATCATTTATTTTTTCATTGACACATAATTAAATAAAAACCCGGAAAAAGATTTTAGAAAGATCAACCACTTTAGGGAATTTTTTACTGCAGCTCGCTGTCGTGAGACAAAACACGTTGAAACCAATAAAAATGACTCCGAAAAACTCCGATCATTAAAACGGCATAAAACGTATAAAACGACACATAAGGTTTATTAAAAAAATGGGACAAGGGTAGGATCTTTTTTAAAATGAGGGTTCGATTTTTTTTTTGAGTTGAAAAAGATAGAGATGAATCCCTTTTGCTGCATGCATATGATTGGTTAACCATTTAAACAATGGGGATATAAAAAGTCACATCAATCAAAAGAAGATTTATCGTTATAATCTTTTTTTGGGGAATTCATTGATTCCTTACCTGAAAAATGAGCCTCGGGAAATCTAAAATAGGTAATATACAGCAAATTTCATATATAGGCTTATTATAATTTGGTAAGTTCATTTCAAGAATTTCCTTTTTTCCTTTGCCTGTTCAACGACATAAAAATTTCCGCCAATTCCCATATCAATAATATTATAAATTTTTTTTTTTTACATTCTGTAAACGGATTTCATTGAAATATTCATTTACGGAAGGTTTCAATGCAAATCCAATGGTTCCAAAACAAATAAAATGTCTAATTGGTTACATTATTAATTATTCTGTAGATAAGTTATAAACTTTTTTGGTATCTCCCTTTTTATCTTGATATGATTGTGTTTTATTTATACTTTTTGAAACTTACCAAATTAAGCATTTTATTGTCATCAACCCTAAATTTAATCCTTCAGCCAACTTGAAATTTCCTTTTATAATAGGAAGGGTCAAAATATCATTTTATTTATACGCTTTTTTTTTTTATCTTTTTTTTTTTTTGCCCTTTTTTTTTTAACCATCAATATTGAATCATAAATTCCTTTGTCTACTCAAATATGTGTTAAAAAAGGAAATCAATATCTTTCAAAAACTTTATAAACTATCCACATTTTTTTTCTCTTTATTTTTTTTTTTTCCTTGTTCAATTTTTTCATTGATCCGGTCTGAATTTACCGTATCCGGAAATTGTTAAAAGAAAATACACAAACCTGCTGACCTTGATAACACATTTTAGGTAATTATCTCGTGTTTATTTTTAAATTAAAATAAACTACTAGTTGATTATTTCCCACAAAAAAAAACCCATTTTTTTTTTTCAATTGATCCGATTGTATGAATACTAATTTTTTTTTTCTCTTTCCCATTGTTGATAATTTTTTTTGTTTTTTTTTTCTTTTTCTGTTTTACCATCGATAAATAACACACTCATACATACATACATATATATATATATTATTATTTATTCATAGTTATCATCAAAAGTAGACGAGAGGTGGAACAAATCATCGTATAAAAAAATGGGTTCTACTATGCATGTTGTCGCTTTTATAGAACAAAAATCGCGTCAGAATGGTATCGATTATGGTGTGGGTAGATTTAGGTGTGAAGCGGGTCAATTTGGTACATTTCGATTTAAGATACTTTCAAGTGCGAAAATGACAAAATATTGTCATTCTTTCACTGAAGGCGATGTTGTTACTTTGGTGGGACAATTTTCTTACGAGACTATAGATAAAGAAGAAGGATTTACGGTAAAATGATTTTCTTCAGTTAAATGATTTGCGATTTCTTTATGGATTTCGATATTTTTTAAACTTAAATTATAAAAACTCTCTGTCAAATCATGCATAATCAACATCGTCGTCATCAATCATCATTCATCATGATCATAATCACATCATCATCATAATAAAAAAAGTTAAATGTCTCTGTGGCAACTCCTTTCCCATCACCGTCATCGGGTTGTTGGGAACCCGAAGAAATACCGATTTCGGCTCCATATTTGAGTTTTCACACTCAACCTATTTCCGGTTCATTAAGGCAGATAGAAAATTGTCAATTTGTTCGAACGAAATCATCAATTCATAGTGGTTATTCACGATCTTACACAGATCCAAGGTTTAGAGTTGGTTATCAAACTGATAATGAGAAGTGGAATAACATGGCGTTCAATTGGGATGCTTATTCACAATTTTTTATATCCGGATTCTTCCTTTACGTTGATAACGGAGAGGTACACATTGAGGCAACTGAGATTGAAGTTGATCCTTCAGCAAAAAAATGCGGGAAAACTTCAAACATATCGAATTCAACAGTTCCTGGTGTAAGTCCTTTGGCAAAAAATTTGGCTCGTTTACTTGAACAAGAGAAAATTTCGTTTTCAACTACTTCTACATTAGGAACTTTTGCTAAAAATTCCTTTGATCAAACCTCATCAAAACCCGAGAAAAAACCTGCGTCTTTACGCCCTTTGGCGCCAAAAAGTGCATCCGTTTCTTTACTACATCATTCACAAAATCAAATGGGTTTACAATCTTTACAATCGCAATTATCAGATCAGCCAATTTCAGAAACTTTGAGTAAAGATTTATTGAAAGGTATGCAAGCGTATCATCACATAATGCAACGGCTCGGCAATCCGATGCCTAGTCAACCACCTTCACATATGCCAGTATTTTCAACGTTACAACAAGTTCCTTCGTCAGAGCCAACCCCATCATCAACAGAACAAATCGCCGAATTGATTGCTGAACAAGGTACGCGTCAAGACATGAGCTCCGTCGCCGCGGGAGTCCAGCCCAAAGTAAGACGATTCACCTCAATTTATGTTTCATCTCTTTTATACTCTTGTTTTTTGAATATTCAGATTTTTATCCCGTTTTTTGATAACAGCATCTTTATTGGCCATTACAACAACAACAACAACAGCAGCAGCAACAACAACAACAACAGCAGCAGCATCAACATCAACATCAACATCATCAACAGCATCAACAGCAGCAACAGCAGCAACATCAACAACAACACAGTCAAGATGGTGTCATGCATAGTCAACGCGAAAAAATTCAAATAGCTCCACAAGTTTCTAACCAAATTGATCGTGAAAGGTCACTATCGAATCAAAATGAACGTGATAAACCATCCAAGCCCCCATCTTCACAACAAGCATCATATCCACAGGAATTGGTGAAAAGTCCTACCCATTATACTTCCCCTCAAAATGAAAGAGATCTAACGCCATCACGTGACATCGGTAATAAGAATGATTCGGTCAGATCTTCAAGAGCAGAATCCGAGTCCAGCGAATCAATTGAATTTGAACAAACTAAAAAATCGGGTAAAAAGAGTTCACCCGAAGACAAATCAAAATCATCCCGTCCCACATCGAGAAACACATTGGGCAATAGGTTTATCGTATACGAACCAAAAATTCAAGAGTCTGAAGGAATTATTAAACCGGAGGGAACCTTGACTGGTAAAAGGGGTCGTAAATCTAAAAATTCGAGTACTGCTCGTTCTAACAAAAAAGCTAAAATTAAGAAAAATATTAATGAGAAAAATGAGAAAGAAACAACGACGACGACGACAAATCAAGAAGAACAAATCACGGATATAGCGAACGGAAGTCCGAAAAATCCTACGGATAAGGAACCAAAGAAGGTATCGGAAAAATCTTCTAAAAATTCATCTGACAATTCTGAAAATACAATTTTGAATTTGAAAGTAGAAGGAGAAACTATCGAAGAGACGAGAGAGAGTTGAAGTATAAGTTACATAAAAATTTTATAAGGTACGATAAGAGTAAATTTGGTTGGATGTTGTGTTTGTAGGGTATTTTATTTAATATTCTTATAAAAATTCAGCATCCCTTTTTTTCCGGGTACGAGATATAAACTTGACTCTTTTTACCGCTTGAGTATAATTATTTTGAGATACGGAAATTTGGTGTATTCTTATGTTTACCTTTCAGTAAAGTATAAAAAGAAAATTTTTTTTCGAGTATAAATATTTCTTAAAAATGATACAGTATAAATCATCTATTTACAATTTCATATCCGTTTGAATCGGAATCGTATTTTAAGTCATCATAAAGTTTTAAAAAAATTTTAGAAAAAAAAAAAAATTAGAATTGCATTGAAAGAATGATAGAGATAAAATAATTTAGAAACTTTATTTTTTAAAAAAAAAAATTCCATCATGTATTCATACGTACAATACGACGCAGTAAAATAAAATTTTCATTTTTACACATCACATATAAATTTGCGGCACACCGTCGTTGCTTCTACATCTCTAAATTTAGTTTAGATCCCAATTGATATATGGGAAACACGTTCAGATTGCGTGTTTTTGATCTAAAATTTTATTTATCCAATTCGCTTTTTTTTTTTTCCTAGAAAAAGATCACGGAGATGTCGAATGATGTAATCTTCAACTGAAATTGATTTCTAATTATATTCTTGGCACGCAGGTATAATTCGTTCGCTTGGAAATATAAAATGATTCAATTCGTGAAAAATCCAAAAAAGTTTGACTTCCACAACATGTAAACACCACAACCATTCTTTTATGATTTAAGAAATTTTTTATCATGTGTATCATTTTGATTACAAATTTGCGTCAAAAGCATTGTGACAAGAAACAGTGCCAATTTTTTTTTAAAAAAAAAATTCATTTGTATTATATAAACGTTCATTGTATCACGTTACTGGAAAAATTTTTTTTCTTAGTTTGTAATGAACAATTTTAACAATTGTAGATTCACAAAAAGGCAGCCATTATAAAAAAGAATTCTTAATTCCTTGTAGTTCTTGCTGAAACAGGAGTTTTTTTTTATCATTGATGCGAACCAAAAAAAAAAAATAAAATGAAATGTACCACTATTTTTTTTTTTTTTTTTAACGTTTTAACAATTGTCTTTCTTATGATGATCTCTATTAATCAAAGAAAAAAAAAACGTAAGATGCAAAACTTCTAAAACCAGTATTAGATCATTTCTCCACTTCCCTTAATCGTATGTTCAGGTTTAGATCAAATTTGAAGCCGATTTTTTTCTTGTGTTCCTATCTAGTAAAACGACATTAATGAACATTGTAAATCCAATACCTAAAAAGAGTTGGAAAGTAACCAGCGCAATTTATAAAAACACCTATTTTGGTACATAAAAAAAAGGTAAGCCTTGATGTAAAGTGTACAATGCGCCATAAAATCTTTGTCCCTTACCAAGTGAAACAAGTCTTCAATAATTAATACGTAAAGTGATACAATAATAAAATTAACGTAGATTTTAAATATATATAAAAAAAAAACCAACCAGTGTAACATCAAATTATATTACACCATCACGCGCATAAAGCGAATTGCGATAACGGTTTCAGAATTTTATAATACTTTGTTAATCCGAATTGTTTTTTTTTTTTTGATTTAATAAAGTTATAAAAAGCCTTCAAGTATTCTCCAAGGATGAGTTATCATTTTTTTTCTCAAACTCTTCGTTTCTCATTCCGGTACTTCGTTGGTCTAAAATTGAAATCATTGATTTGATTTCATAGACATATTACATAGGTTGCCTGGTGCACATTTTGTTAGATTATTACACATTAATCACTATCATCCTTTTCAACAACAAAATAAAAATTAATTAATAAAATCATTACTGGAAATAGAAACGGTAGAAAATGGGAATAAAGATCAACCTATTTCTAATCCTTATCATTGCTTTAATTTCCTTTTTGGAAAGTTCAACTCATGCCGTCCCGTTAAATATTGAGAAAAGACAGAATGATAACAAAGAGAATAATGACATTTGCAAAAAATCGAACCTAGACGAAGGAGATGGTACACAAAATCGGGATGGATATTGTGTAGAAACAGTTTTAGGAGAAGTTCCGGATGTTGATAACATGATTTCAACTTTAATCATTGAACCAGAAGATGGATCCACAATACCTGCGAACGAAAAATTTCGGATTGAAACAATTTCCGAAAATTTAATTACCGGATTTTTCACGGATCCGATAAAGGAATATTACGTAAGACCTCAGGAATTGGATGACGGAAAAATCATTGGACATTCTCACATAACTATCCAAAAATTGAACAATGACAAAAGAAATGTCCCGAATCCCGAGAATTTCGCCTTTTTTAAAGGATTAGATGAACCCGCTCAAGACGGCGTTCTTGGTGTTAACGTTGATGAGGGTTTACCTGCCGGGAATTATAGAATTTGTACTATTGTTTCTTCATTTTCTCATCAACCAGTTATTATGCCCGTTGCTCAAAGAGGCACATGTGACGATTGCATAAGAATTAAAGTTCGATGATTAATGTCTCTTATTTTCTTTTATAATTGTTATTATGATTATTATAGTAAAGTGTGATAATTAGAAATTAATTTAATGTATCATAACAAAAAAAATTACTTTCCTTTTTTTATACCTCTGAATAATGTAATAAAAAAAAAAAAACTTTAAATTTTACGCGTAAATAAAAAAAAAATCTTTTCATAAAAAAAAAAAAATAGAAATCAATAAATTATTTGTTTTTGAAAATACATTTGTTTCTATTTTGTTGTTGTATGTGCCAAAGCTGTTTTTATTCCATTGTGATTTAATACAGTATATATAGATTTATAAAAAGATTTTGTTTATCTGCACTAAATGAAGTCGTTTCTGTTGAAGATGAAAGAGATTTTGTGGCTATGAGACGTATAGAACAATATAGAAGAAAATAAATCACTTGATTTAGTGGTTGAAAATCTTCGACGCATTGCTTTCAGTTTGTAATTGGTTACCGATACACTTCCTCATTATTTTCTTTGTTAAAAAATTCATCGACTATTGTCTGAAAAATAATTGGTTGTATTTATTTCACGATCGATATTTAAAAATTCGTTCTGAAGATCATGTAAATAGTCAATAGTTGAAGCTAATTATCAATTAATACGTAAATGAGACTTTGGTTTAAAATCCTTGATTTAAAATGTATATATGTTGTGCGTTAACTATAATTTTGCGTCAGATGCCGACTGGCCTAAATTATAGGCCTATTTTGGGCTGATTTATAATGCCTTAAGAAGGTTTGCCCAGCATTAGTCATCTGACGCATGTCAACTGTCACTTGACTCAAATCGACATCTGACGCACAAAATTCCAGAAATTACGTAATTAAATGATCACATTGATTTTGCCATATATTTATATATTACGTGGACGCGCGTTCCCCAAAAGATTATCTTTTTCCCACGACGAACTACTATTTCAATAAGAATAAAAAATTAAAAAAATAATGTTTAGTAATATCTTTATTTTATTCGACACATACGAATTTTTACTTTTAACCTGCAAAGTTGTTGTCTGAAACGGTATATAGTAAGGTATTTGATGGTATATAGTGTATTTATAAGCTTCTTATAATATACCTTGCAGTTATTATTCTTGAAGATATTATTTTTTTAAGGTGAGAATGCGCTGTCTTTTGACGGTTTTAATGATACAACTCACAGTCAATATTCGTATCGAGT